GGGATGAAACTTAGGGACTTGCATATGTTAGGCAAACACTGTACGACTGAGCTAAACTTGCAACCCAATGCCTTTCCTCAAACACATCTTTACATTTCTAGAAGACTTAGGTGTAGCTACCAGGTCCTGTTAAGATGAAGGTCAAAATTACTTGAACCCCAGACCCCAGCCTTGCAGTTCCTACTCTTTGGACAGTACAGGAGCTGGGGAGGAACTTCTCTAGCCTGGAGGGAAACACCAAAGCATCACTGAAAACTGACAAACTTGAGACAGTTTGGCTAGTGGAAAAATTGTAAGATTGACCATAAACAAATATATACCCAGGAATAAGCACTGCTACTTGGGTACAGGGGTATAGCCTCTCATTTGCTGCTTTGCAGGGCAGGGGCGGGGAGCAGAGCCACTGAAGGCCCAACAGCACACCTTTCAATGTGGCAGTCTGCACCACGGGATGTACATCTGGAGGGTGGGCTTTAGGCACGTCTTGATTGATTTCTCAGGGTTGGGGCTCTAGCTTAGTGGGAGAGCACTTGTCTGTGCCAGTCTAAACACAGCAAATAAAACAAAGCAAATGTCCACTCTGAGGAGACAGTTGAGTAAATCATACAGACAATACAAACAACAGATGTATAATTCAGAGTATAGCTGTTTTTCTTTTTTTTGGTACCGAGAATCAAACTCAGAACCTTGCTCCTGCCTGGCAGGCACTGTGCTGCTGAGCTATATCCCCACCCCTAGAGGATAGCTGTTGGTCACAGAAAGATGCACAGTAAATCATGAGGTAAAAAATATAGGTCCCAAATACTGCGGCCAGTATGATTTTTTTTTTTAGGACACACAACATAATGGCATATGGCCAGGTAGTGGATAGATTTTTTTCTTGCTTTTGTTAACCCACATTTTCTGCAATGACTACCACTCCTGTCACATTTGAAACAAATGAGCAGAAGGCCCACCTGCTGGGCTGGAGAGTTAGTCCCAGATCCTACCCTCAACCACCACCCCCTGGTTATTAGGAGCCTTGCCACCTTTCCTGGCCGGCACTAGTACTACAGCTCTTTCCAGGACTGCCCACATCCGATGAGTTGTGTTATGAGCAGAAGAGACAAGCTAGAAGGACATAAAGATAAATTACAGGCAGAGGAAACAAAGTAACCATGGATTTGCCCAGAAAAATTATTTGGGATGAACCACAAAGCAGGATAGCTCAGAAATCAAAATGA